AGAAAGGAAGATTTAAAGTTCCAAACCTAATTTTTGGCAGTGCTTTTTGGACACTATTCAGAAACTGATAATCATATTTTAAATATTTTGGTACTGCTTTGGGTTTATTTTGTGCGTGTATGTATACAAGTAGAGAATTTCTCATTGAAAGTCTTGCATTTTACATGGAAGGGTGATACAGTCATAAGAAAAGCTGAATTACTGTATGGAAAACAAATTTTTTTGTTTCCTATCTTCCTTTTTCATAGAAGCATCCTTCTTGCTAACAAAAACACCTGCTTTCCCTTTCCATGGCTTATCCTCAGCTGAGAATTTGACTTGCATTTTAATCCAGTGTTAAATATTGCATGACTTCTCTACCTGTTGTTGTAGTTCTTAATTCTTGTCTTTATTTAAAGGTGCAACAACAGCATAAATAAGTGGTCAGCAAATAAATTCCTGCAGAGCAGCTGTTGCAATTCTTTTTAACAGCTGGTGCAACTGACTAGACCAAACAGTTAAACTTGCTTATCCAACAGGTCATATTATAGCCAATGAGGACTGAGCAGACATTTCTGGAATATTTGTAAAACGCAAGATGATGCAGCTCGATTTCTGTTACATACCTGGAATATTTTCTGAAATATTTAATGAAGAAATGAAGACACATGCTTTAAAGACAGTTTAAAAAAAAAAAAAAGTGACAATGACAACAAGACCCCATAGTACAGTAAATAAAGTTAGAAGGCTTGTGGAGTAAAGCCAAATAATATAGGCCTCTTGTTACAAATTATTATGTACACTTACAGGGATGTCTAAATATGGTAAGAATTATTTTTTTTAAATGTGCATGGTTAAGTATATGTTCTAATGATATGTTAGTGACATTAGTATTGATACTATATAGTCTTGCCAATATGCAATTTACTAGACAGTCTATATATTTCTTTCATAAACACTTAATGTGACCTTACAAAAAGTGAGCTTGTGCAAATGGTCCCTTGTAATATGTCAAATGCTTTTTTGCCACTAGTACCATCATGACTGAAGGCAGATCCCACGTCTATAGCTGCACGTACCTGCATGTTCCCTTCCTTTTAGAGATGAAATTTTGTATCTGTTGATGCCTAGAAAGTTTTTATCATTGATGTCTCTTCAGGACCAATGTTGCATGCTAAGGGATCCATGGAGAAAGAGAGGTGATCTTAATAGCTCATTGTTGCCCAAAGGTGGAGGTCTTGACTACTGTCCACTTCCAAACACTTTGCTGTTTGTCTTGTGTTTGTCTCATCATGCATCTGGCTGCTTTGTGAGCTGTTTACATTTGCTAATCTAGTGGAAAAATAACTCGGCAACAACAAAAACTGAGGATTTTCAGGTATCCTACTTACTGGATTCATTTCAGAGCTCACAAGCCTGACAAGTCCTACAGCCAGTTTACAGCAGAGTTTGGAATAAAATGACCAGAGCAAGGAGGGGAGGTGCTACCCTTCTCCTTTTTGCTACTAGAATCTCCAGCTTTTAAGACCTATTTGTCTCATTTCGGCTCCGAAGATGATCAGCTATGGGATCAAATAGATCCAGTGGAGATCTGTTGTTTTTTACTGACAGTCATTCAAACTCACTTGCATTAGTGTCACAATTGGAAACTGAAACTAGTGAACCCTTGCTATTGGTTAGTCTGACCTCCTGCTTGAGTCCCCCAGCAGGCAAGGGTAGTGTAGTTAAATGCCATACGCAAGTATTGAAACGCAGTAGGTCAATTCTTCATGCACTCACACTTAGATACAGGATGCTTAAACAGATATGAGCATGCACATAGGCATGAAAAATGTCTAGTAGATATGTTTATCTGATGATTTCCCCTTTGCTGATATACTTGATATTTCATATCTTCCTTGGCCTCTCCTAGTGGATTTCTGGGGAATGCTATCTTGTGGAGTGTGAAGTATTTTGCCAGACAGCAGCTTCATCATCATCCTTATCTATATTTGTTTGAACCTTTATAATTTTTTTCATTATAGGAGTGTCATACAAGTTGCACCATCTTCTACCAGCAGCTGTGAAAGTTGTATCTCCTTCTTGCCCTTTTATGGCAAAAATTTTAAAGTAGCTTTCTTGGTATTAGATACCAACCTCTTTCATCACAGTAGTTATTAATGGCCATGCCTCAATATAATTCCAGAGCCAGAATTATAACCAGGAAGTATCGTCTGAGTGAGTCCAAGTTAAGAAAATCTGGATTCTTCTTCACTATGTTCTTAAGCTTTGTTGCTGAAGGAAACAAAGCTGGTGCAGTTGAGACATCTGCCTGTCATTGTCTGTCTTCCTTTTCAGAGCTTACGCATCCCTTGAGTAATTTTTATCCAATTTAGCAAAAAGAGAGATTAAGGTTACACAAGTTTTCAAGGTAACTAGAGGGTAGCTAGGAAAGGGAGAGACTTATCAATGCATCTGCTGAGGAAGAAGTCTACAGGATGACTATCACCTGGTTAGACATCATTGAATCCTCGTGGAATTGGGTTTTGCTCTGACCATGTAAACAGGTTCAGTTGATGTTTGTTCCTTACTTTACACCATAGAAGCCATTTATTAGTTAAAACTCCTAGTAAGGCATAAGCCTGAAATAAAGCTTTGCTGTGGCTGGACTGTTGAGAATCACTCTTCCATGTAGGTCCCCTGACATTTTGGGACCATGAGGCCTTGGAGAAGCCCTAGTGTAATTCAAACACAATTTGAACTGGCATGAAAATCTCACCTGGAGCCAGGTTTTGTTCATTCTGTTACTTGTGGTACAACAGGTCAACACTTGGGTTTTTTTCCATGAAATACAGAGAAAGCCATCAGTTTGCATGTTTTATTAGTAGTTTTGCCCCTTTGGCATACTATTCAAGTGTACATTTTTTAGGAAATTCTGATCTTTGTGAGATCAAAATGATCCTCTCCATTGGTTTCCTCCATACCCTCTTCAGGGGTCTGGGTCATTATGTTTTCTTATACATGCAGTTTTTTTATTGGGTAAACTTCGATACAATAGAAGCTTTTTAGAGCAGTAGGTTTTTTCTGTGCAGCACCACTAATACAGTTGCAGTTTTGTACAGCAGTGCCTTTTTTCTACACAGCTTATTCATTTGCTGTACAAAGCAGGCTAATGTACAATGTAGCATTTGGGTACTGTTTATATAGTGGTATTAGAAATCCCTCACATAAATAAACTTGGGACCACCGTCACTATATAAGAGGGGTTACTAGTGTAGTATAGACTGCCTTGCTTTGCTAACAAAATGCTTCTTGCTCTTTCTACGCATGGGCAGGGACCAGCATGAATACCAAGAGAGCTATAAGGCTTATGTATAATGTAAATCATAGTACATTCTGTATGCTACAGCTATGCAGAGCTTACTAAAAATGTTATTTAGGAAGTATATTATCAAATATATTAAAAGGATTATTACGCTATTATTATTATTATTATTATTTTGAGAAGGTGACTTTTAAAATGTTGCAGTGCTCTCCCTTATCCATTTGAGGGCAGCTGTACACCTATGTTAAGAACTGTGGAAAAACTGTCTGGGGTTCTGCTTTTTGCCTTTTAATCTTTCTATACTTGCAAATACTTCATTTAGGTCTCTCTAGGTCTTGTACTGTTCCGTCACCATATTAAAATGTCATGAGTTTGTTTATTTTTTTCTAGTAATGTTAATATACAAAACAATCGTTGGCTCTAGGTGAAGATTCTGTAAAGGTTGAGTAAGCTGGTTTTTGTTTTTAGGATAAAGGCTTAGATCCATGTCTTAAAACCATGGCCTTCCTGAGTTAAGTATACTGAATGAGCAAGTTAATTTTGAAAGATCTGCTTTCTGGTAAACAGCTGCTAAAAAGCTCTGCTGCAGGATCACTTTGAATTACTCTGACTGGAAGTTATAAAAATTATTGCTGCTTACTACACGCTTTAATTTTACAAAGCCGTCTCTTCACTGGATCAGCCAAAAAAGAAAGAGGAGTCTTCTGGATTCTTAAGTTTCCAGTTAATAGTCCATGATGATCTCAAACTTGTATTTTCAGACTCAAGTTTTTAGGCACTTTTATGCATTTAAATAAAGATTCAAATGTGATCTTTTGATTAAAGTGACAGGCACTTAAAAAAAGCATCATTGGAAATCAGCCCCACTTTATTTAGAACAGGAACTTAGAGAAACATATTACAAAGCATTAAAGCTCAAATTTTCATAGTTTCACAGTTGTCAAGTTTTTGCTTTATATATATATATGTTTTTTCACCCTGTATAATATAAAAAATACACACTTTTAAAGATAAAAGCAACAGAGTGGCTTTTTAAACTTTACATTTAGAGCTTAAATTAGAATTATATGTGTAATAAATACAAAAATAAGTGTTATCCACTATATGCAATATATTCCTGACACTTCAAAGACAGCCAACACTCTCCATTTTTTCTTCCTGTTACACCCTCTTACTGCTTAAATTAGACTGTGTTGTATTTTCAAGCTAAGGACTTTCACTTATTCAATGTTTATAGCTGTCCAGAATAGCTTGGGGCCTTTAAACATTACTGTAAGACAGTAATACCTGTAGTCAGTAATGTGTAGCAAATCTAAGACTAGAAAGAAGTGATGATAAATGGAAATAAAATTGGGCCAACAAGATCTCATCTGCTAGTGCAAGTGTTTTTTCTGGGAGACGATGATAAAAAGGGGGGGGGAAATAGGCAGAGATAAAAACTGAAGCTTTTCCTTATTGCTGTGATAAAGTGTGAAATCTAGCATTGTAATTTCATGTGGGACAAAAAAAAAAGCCTTATTTTGCTTTGGCTTTATCCACTTGGAAAGGGGACTACACTGAATGTGAACAGGATAATTTTTTTCAGCTAGAAGCATGTCCCTGTGGAATTGCTCTAGAATAGTTTGGAAGTTCCTGAGGAAAAATTAATGTACTGTTGGGACTTTTATCTCAAACCACAAGAGAAGAAGGGCTGACAATCAGAGTTTTGTCTTTTCAGAGGTGTGAGAATAACCTGCGACTGGAGACTTGTGCTGTGAGCGGTGCTTGGAGAATGCCATACTTCAGTCTTGTCTGCTCCCCAATTGTATGTAAATCTGTAAATGGGCCAAGTTATGTTCCTGTTTTGCACTTCGGTTATGACCTAATATTAAAAAAAAAAAAGGGGGGGGTGGGGGGCAGGGAGTAAGCCTGTAAAGTAGTAAGATACTAGGCTCTGATATCAACTAATAAAGGCTGGTGCTAAAATAGTGATCTGCCACACTGTCAAATTCTCCTTTCAGCAATTGCACAATGAAATAATCTTTTAAAACCAAGTTTATTTCAGCAGTTTCTCTTAGCACACACAGACATCTCTGTATCCAATTAAATGAAATATTGAGTATTTATTAAACTAGAATCTGAGGTTTGCTTTGTATGAAATACTGTATCTGATCTTGTCGACTTATGTGCGTGCTATTCAGATCTCAAATTATATTAATATAAATACATTTTGGTAAACTTCCCACTTTGTTGGAACAATTGAGACAGCGACCGGTACATCAAAACTGGAAAAGCTTGACCTGTTGCTTCTTTTTGAATGATACATCAATAGGGATATGTGAGTTGATCTCTTCGAGGTTTTTGTCTCTGTTCTTCACTTCAGACAAAAGGCTACTCTTTTGCCCTCTTTGGAGTAATTCAGTGAAGTTTTCTTATCTGAGTGAAACTGAGATCCGAAGACACCTTTCCAAAGTCTTCCAGCCAAGTGAAAGCCTAATATTTGTTGTATAAAATAATGAAGTAATTCAGAATGATGCTATAAACTGTGATTTAATGATATCACTGTTGAGTACAGGCTAATGGTAAACTGTTTTTTGCAGTTTATAGGATAAAGTATAAAGAAGGAAATGTAAAGAGTCTTTCAGAAGACGATGTATGTCTAAATGTGCTTTAGTATGGCATTTGAATGGAATGATAGAAAAGAAAAAAAAATCAGTGCATGAAAATATTGTGCTACCCAGCATTCTATCACAGCATTTTTGTATGCAACATCTGTAAGGAAATAAGGATTTTTTTGTTGTTGTTTGTCTGAGAGATATTTTGTTGTAAGTGAATGCTTACTGTAATGTATATGTACTCAGTGAAACATTAGGGATTTTTATAGATTTTGTGTGTGTGTGTGTGTGTAAAAAGCATTCAACAAGCAAATATTTGGTCAGGTGAGGTCCTCTGTATGTGAGAGAGACATGCTTACAGCTTGGCCTTTTGAAGGGGAGACAAAGGGCTAAGTGGAGATGCTAAGACAGGCATATTTTAATCCTGTCTTTTGTCAAGTTACGGTGTTGTGCTTCAAGCATTAAGCGTTACTACACTCCCTCTTTTGCCCTCACATAATTATACAGTTAATTATCTTTGCTGGGTTGTGCATAAAGGGACTTGTAAGATTTCTTAATGGTCATTTATTCACTGTGTTTTGGACTATACTGACTCAGTTCATACAAGGGCTTTGATGGCTTTCTGCATCTCATATCAGCAATTTCATAAGACATTTTCACAGGCTTTTGTCTCTTTCTACTTAGTTTTGCTCAAAAAGGTTTTCAAAATTTGAATACATTTTTAAGAAACATGTCCAAGTATAGGGATTAGAAAGAGATTGTGGGAACCTAGAGGCATTGTAGGAAAGCTAATTTGATCAAAAAATTATGTAAAATGGAAGTAAACTAATTGCGGATAATCTGAGTAATAGACATTGCTATTCTAGCTTTGTTCGGTGGAATAAGAACTTTTTTCCTGAAAAATGGTCCTCAGTCATGTTTGTTGCTAAGGGCAGGCAGACCTCTTCCCACATCCTTCAGGGCACACTGGTGTGAGAGGAAGAGCCCTTCTCCTTTCCATCAGTGTGATGGTGTCGTGGTTTAACCCCAGCCAGCAACTAAGCACCACGCAGCTGCTCACTCACTCCCCCCCATCCAGTGGGATGGGGGAGAAGATCAGGAAAAGAAGTAAAACTCCTGGGTTGAGATAAGAACGATTTAATAGAACAGAAAAGAAGAGACTAATAATGATAATGATAACACTAATAAAATGACAACAGTAGTAATAAAAGGATTGAAATGTACAAATGATGCGCGGGGAAATTGCCCCCCCCCCGCCGCCCGACCCCCAGCCAGTCCCCCAGAGGCGAATCCCTCCCCCCCCCACTTCCCAGTTCCTAAACTAGATGGGACGTCCCATGGTATGGAATACACTGTTGGCCAGTTTGGGTCAGGTGCCCTGGCTGGGCATGAGAAGCTGAAAAATCCTTGACTGTAGTCTAAACACTACTGAGCAACAGCTGAAAACATCAGTGTTATCAACATTCTTCACATACTGAACTCAAAACATAGCACTGTACCAGCTACTAGGAAGACAGTTAACTACATCCCAGCTGAAACCAGGACAGATGGATAGTCCTGAGGAAACTGGTACTCACACCTGTGATGGCCAGAAAAGGGAAGACTATTTCAGTATCATTGCATCCTGGAGCTAAAGCCCCCCGTGGATGCTGCTGCTTCCCCTACAGCAGCAGGGAAAGGGGAGAAGGTGCAGGCTGGGGTACTTTTACCTAAGTAAAAAGGGCCAGGAAGGAGGAGCTAAAAATCACAATGTAGATGAAAATACAATTATAGCCTGCCTCTACTTTTATTCAAAGAGCAAGTTTCGAGCCAATGTCTTCAGTTTGGGAGACTCCCATTTTTTTCCAAATTTTTTCATTTTTGTTACCTTTTTTAACTTTTGGGTTTAGCAACATATTATGTTTGTGGAGACGGTGGTTGAAAAACTGCTAGCAAAGTCCAGGTCAGTTTTTTAGTCACTAGCTGTCAAATTCTAGTGGAAGTCTAGAAGAACTCTGTCCGGAGAGTGGTGGAATAGATCCTGCAGTAACACTGTTACTGTCTGAAGGTTGTAATCTCCTTGGATTCTCCTTCTGAAGGCACAAAGCCAACTCGTAAAAAAATAAAGTAATAGTAAAAAAAAATTCTTCCTTTAAAGCACAGGCATAAGCTGCTGGGGCTACTAAAACTCCTGGCAGTCATGATTTTCTTCTTTTTCAATCTGCGGATCCCTTTTTGGGGAAGGGCTCTTCTGACATTGCAGGGGAGGTCCACCAGCTGTTTGACTGGCAGGAGCAGTCTGCCTGCCCCTTGGTAGTTTAATTCCTGTCTATACTAGGATAGCTTGCACTTCACTGAGCAGCAGACAGGTCAGGACATTTGGCAGGAGAAGGTTGAGAGACAAAGGCAGCAGGCTGTGGGGAGCTGAATCACCAGTCTGAAACTTTTTTAAAGAAAGAAAGAAATCATGCAACTTTAGAAGCAAAATTTTTAGCAATGTTGTTGCATTATTAATAGACTTGACAAAGTAAGAAAATAAAATGTCCAAACCTGGGAAAACTGCCATCAACCATGGCTTGGTTCCTGTTGATCTTAAAAGTGCCAAAGAACCTCTACCACACCAAACCGTGATGAAGATATTTAGCATCAGCATCATTGCGCAGGGCCTGCCCTTCTGCCGTAGGCGGGTAAGTGTAAAAGTCTTTAAAACCTGAATTTTGATCACTTGGCTTGTAGCTCAGTGCTTTGTCATGGTGCATTCATTCCATGAGGAAATACTTACATCTGTATTATCTATTCACTCAGGGTGCCATAGAGGAGCCTTTGGGTCATTTATTTCAATAATTCTTGTGCTTTAATTTAATTTAAATCCATACACGTTGTCTTAGCTATTACTCATTTGAAGGGACATGCCAGAGATTCTTTTATAGTTGTAAACCATGTAGATGAAAACAAATGCTGTACAAAATAGGTGCATTCATAAATGTGTATTTTGCTTTTATTCACTCTTTTAGGTGATGTAGATAGCTTGGAGTAAAATCCATTGAATGCAGTTTCGAATTGGCACATGTGACTTGTTGGATACTAAAGTAGGGAATTTAGAGATGTTTAATATTTAAATGTTTTTAGTACGAATTCTGAAAATAGAATTTTCGTCCTTTTGTAACTCAGTAATGGAGATAATATTTTTGCTGTTACAGGAAATAAAAATAGCATGTTACTATGTGGAGGTTGCGATATAGTTTATATATAGACAATCCTAGCCTGACAAACTATCATGGGTCTTATGCTACAACTTCATGAACTATATGAATAAAGTGGCTGTTAAAGCACATTATATGAGTAAAAAGAAAAAAAAAGTCTTTAAAATTTTGTTCTTTCTGTAATACACAATTTTCAATAAAAAGCATTTTCACATCAACTTACATCATGATTTTGTAACTCAGTTTGCATACTGCTGAGCTCATATTTTTTAAAGTAAAATTAATTTTTCTTCTTTATTACTATTTGGAAATTTTTTCAGTAAAATTATAATAAAATTTGCTCTTCATAATGAATTTTCCCAACACTACTTTGAGTTTTCTGTTGCTACTGAATAAATACTATTGCCATTTATTGATGCAAGTTTTAAAATCTAGCTCAGCTTTTGTAAATGTGCTGGCTTTCCTTGAATGTCAATATACTCCTTTTTGGTAAACTTAGTTAAATCACACACAAAATTTAAATTTGACAAGATGACCATTGAAAGCTTGATTCTTTTTACTATGTTGCTTTGAATGTCTGAGAATGTTTCTTATATGTAAAAGGTATATGGCATGTGTTGAAAGCTAGTAACATAATATCAACCTGCAGCAATGCAAAAATTAGAACATATATACCTACATGTGACTTCAATATTGATCATGTGCATTTCAGAAAAGTATTCTTTTCTGAAATTAGATATTATGCGTATGTGTTTGAACATTGAATAGGAACATTTCATAAAGTTGAAAGTGATAAAGTAACCCTTTATTTTAATAGATGTGCTCTCAAATTTTTCATATGATTTGAGAACTGTTTGCTTGAAAATAAGCATTTGGAATATGTTTGGATAGTTTTAGTTCCTTTGTCTTGGATAAAGCATAGTATGCAGCGTAGAAAATAAGTTTAGTAGATTTATTTCACAAATCTTTTTGTGGCTATATTAATACACTATACTCTTGGAACTCTAATGCTGATGTTTTGTGTGTGT